GGGTGATGAAGCCCATTTTTACGAGCTGCAAATCGCCTGGAGCTATAACTATGAAATACTGGCTTATATATCATTTTTTCTCCCTATTTTGATGTAGAAAATTGCAGGAAATTCCTGTGATGTTGTGATCCCTGTGCAGTGCCTACAGACGTCTCTTGATGTCTGCTAGGTTCCTTGCTCCGTCTGATTTTAACGCTTTTATATTTATTATAACTCTTTTTTTTTTGCGGGCGGGGAGTAAGCTGTACATGCTGCAGAATAAATCTCTAACCTCATTTTTTGTTTCCAAGAGTATCTCAGGGGCCCGAAGCTCTTTTAGAAAATTCAAAGGAGGGGTGGTTGGAAACCAATGTTTTAGAAACATCCTTATCCTGAAGAAGGATGAAGGTCCCATGAGTCCCATGCAAAAAAGAGAGAGAGGAGTGAATAGTATAGAATAGAATAGAATTTTTATTGGCCAAGTGTGATTGGACACAAAAGGAATTTGTCTTGGTGCATATGTTCTCAGTGTACATAAAAGAAAAGATACGTTCATCAAGAAACATAAGATACAACACTTAATGATAGTCATAGGGTACAAATAAGCAATCTAGAAAGGACTCTAAAGAGAATGCAGGGTAGCATTCTGGAGCTTTATAACTAGTGGTGGGATTCCAAAATTTTTACTACCGGTTCTGTGGGTGTGGCTTGGTGGGCGTGGCATGGCTTGGTGGGCGTGGCAGGGGAAGGATATTGTAAAATCTCCATTCTCACCCTACTCCAGGGGAAGGTTACTGCAAAATCCCCATTCCCTCCCAATCAGCTGGGACTTGGGAGGCAGAGAATAGATGGGGGTGGGGCCAGTCAGAGGTGGTATTTACCAGTTCTCCGAACTACTCAAAATTTCCGCTACTGGTTCTCCAGAACTGGTCAAAACCTGCTGAATACCACCTCTGTTTATAACTATTATATCTCTCATAGCCACCACTTTGTGATGAGAGATCCCAACCCTCAACCCTTTTTCCAAGAGAGTCCCCATAATAGTCTCAACAGAGAAATTCTGACATATTATTACATGACCCCCATACTACAGGGCTATTTTCTAGCAGGTATCTCCCTCCCTCCCTCCTTCCCTTTTATTTAAGAGATGTACTGTTGTGACCCAGGCCCAAGTAGGTAGTAGTCGACGCAAACAGTTCCAAAACAAACAGACTTTATTAGAACAGCTGAGAATTAACTCATTCTCAGCATAGTCCAAACTAAATTAAAACAAATTCTTCATAACACAAATTCTTCAGTCTAATCACCAACCTTGGTATAATTAGGCAAACTGCCAAAGGCTTCTCTTGGCAAAAGTTCAGAAGCAGAAGACGCCGACCAGAGATAAGTGCAGCAAGACAAGAACAAGTCTATCAACGTTGTTTTCCAACAAAGAGCCCAAGAGCCGTTGCTGGTCTTTTAAGCCTTATGGGAGGGTCTCATCTCTTGGCCCTACTCCCGAGTTGTCCTCTTTGCTTTAGCTGCTCTTGCCTTCTAGCAGCTCTTCTCATACGTGCACTAGGAACAGGCTCCTCTTGTTGCTCTGCCTCTCTACTGTCAGCCTCTGGAGGCTCCAGAGTCCGCACATCACTCCCCAATGGTCCTGGCCCTGGCCCCATCTCTACCTCCGATGCAGAGCCCTCATCCGGGCCTTCCCCAGCCTCCAGGACTGGCCCATGTTCTTCCTCAGCCTCATCGCTGTCCGACTCCGCTGCCAGCTCCGCAAGGTGCTGGCGGACCACAACATGTAGTACAGTCTGGAGTGACTATGAAATTGATCGCAGTAGCAATGTTCAAAGTGAAGCCGATGAATCTTTTGCCCAGCTGTGATGGGTAAGAGGGGATTTGAGCCGTTTGAGGGGGAAATATTAGTCATCTTCAGCCTCCGGCGCTATTGTTTCAATCAGCTTTGGAGAGAATAAATCAAAACCTTACTTTGATCAAGTAGTAAATGGTTCCTTTCAATGTAACATACTTGTTACCGTTTCCTCAAAAATAAGACATCCCCTGATAATAAGCCCAATCAGGCTTTTGAGTGCATGTGCTAAAATAAGCCACCCCCTGAAAATAAGCCCTCCCCAAAAATATTTAAACACAGAGCTGGAAATCAGGTAAGACAGCACCAGGAGCCCCATCTTGTTCCATGCGCCCCAAAATAATAAGACCTCCCCGAAAATAAGGCCAAGCGCTTATTTCAGAGTTCAAAAAATATAAGATAGGGTTTTATTTTCGGGGAAACACGGTATATACATGCTTGGATTGCTCTTTAGGTATTGTATATATTATTTGTATTCTGCTGCTGTTATTTTTGTACAGTAGCTGATGTCCAGTTGAAAACACAATGATAATATGCACAGGATGATATCACACAGATGAGAAAATGGGATTTTTCATTTCCTGTATGGAAATGGCCCCTCTGACAGCAGGTACTTTCTGCTAAGAATGGAATATGTTGGTTTCAGATATTTCTGCTGTAGGTTCTTGAGAACATGTTCAGTGTCTTCATATGGGAATACGGGAATACCGGCATCTTCCCTTGATTTATTCCCCTAGGTATCACCTATTATAATCTCAGCACCTTTCTCAGTGGATTTTGTTCCACCTAATTTCACTGCAATATTCACTTAATTCTCAGGTCTGTTGGGAGTCAGTAAAGCAATAGGTCAGTGACATCTAGTGGTGGTAATCAGAAATGGGTTAAAGTGGAGATTAAAAAAAAACGAATTGCCAAATTAAGAGATATTCATTGAGGCGGTTGTTCCAAAGGCAGTGATTAGAACTCAATTTCAAGCACAATACTGCAAACATGTTTTTAATTGAGGCTTACTTTTACTACAAAGAGGGAAGAAACGTCCCCATATTGTCATCTAATTCAAAAGATTGAAAGATTAAGAAGGCTCTTGATAGGATGCTCCAGAATGTCCTAATCCAGGAGTCTCCAACTTTAGCAACTTTACGACTTGTGGACTTCAACTCCCAGAGTTCCTGGCTGAGGAATTCTGGGAGTTGAAGTCCACAAGTGTTAAAGTTGCCAAGGTCGGAGATCCCTGGACTAGCCCACCAAAATCAGTGCTGTCTAAGGTACCTTGGATGCATCCTTTCTGAGAATTTGGAAGGAGGCATAGGGACGTGGTGACTCAGTGGCTAAGACGCTGAGCTTGTTGATCAGGTCGGCAGTTCAGTGGTTTGAATCCCTAGTGTCGTGTAACGGGGTGAGCTCCCGTTACTTGTCCCAGCTTCTGCCAACCTAGCAGTTCGAAAGCACATAAAAAATGCAAGTAGAATAATAGGGACCGCCTTTGGTGGGAAGGTAACAGTAATCCGTGCGCTTTTGGCGTTGAGTCATGCCGGCCACATGACCATGGAGACGTCTTCGGACAGCGCTGGCTCTTCGGTAATGATGTGTAATGGTGCATAAGGAAACCATTCCTGCTTAAGAATCCAATGTATAACAGAGTGAGATGGGCTCCATCTTTGGAATTAAGAGTGTTATGCATATTCTAACCAAGAAGTTGAAGGCTTTCATTTCTACTGAAGACTATAAAATCTTTGTGGGATTTCTCAAACTTCTGTAGGGTAAGGTAGAATCTGTCATGGTCTTAGCCATCGTTCTGGCTCCTACTCCCTTTACCTGTCATCTTTGAAAGGTTACCTGCACCTTCAAATCACTTACTATGAGTATTATCATTGTATAAATCAGCCATTATTTGGGACCAGGACACCAAGGTTCAGATAGCAGAACAGAGTTCAAAGGGACTTAGAGGATTTTTAGTCCAACCCCCTGCTCCAGCAGGAGATCCTGTATTGCATTCAATAAACTGATTGCATTTCAGATCCAAAAAACTACAATGGTAAACAGACATATTGTGTGGCCACGCAGGTGGTTATGGGCGCAACTCGTTGTGCCCATGTGACACCCCTCCTGCGCGAGCTGCACTGGCTCCCAGTGGTCTTCCGGGTACGATTCAAGGTGTTGGTTACCACCTTTAAAGCGCTCCATGGCATTGGACCCGGATACCTTCGAGACCGTCTTCTGCCACCAGTAGCCTCCCACCGGCCAGTTCGCTCCCACAGAGAGGGTCTCCTCAGGGTGCCATCGGCCAAATTATGTCGCCTGGCGACACCCAGGGGGAGGGCCTTCTCTGTGGGAGCCCCTGCCCTTTGGAATGAGCTGCCCCCAGAAATTCGTAAAATCTCTGATCTCCGTGTATTTCGCTGTGCCCTCAAAACCATGCTGTTCCGCCAGGCTGGGCTATCAATGTAAAGATTTTAATTGGTTTTAAATGGGATTTTAAATTTGGGGTTTTATAAATTGGGCCTATTATTTAATAATTTTAATTATTTTTAAATTTTGTCTGTCTTTGTGTTTTTAATTAGGCTGTACACCGCCCTGAGTCCTTCGGGAGAAGGGCGGTATAGAAATAAAATTAATAATAATAATAATAATAATAATAATAATAATAATAATAATAATATGTAGAGAGATAGACACTTGCGATTATTTGAATCTGCCATTTGAAATATGCAGTTCACTTGGGGCATCCTTTGATCAACTCACTGTTCCATTAAATCTCCCTTGCATTTAGGAATTCCTTCTCGTAGTACAATCTTACGAATTACATATGAGGCAAGCAGCAAAACCCATTGTTTCTCTCTTACATTTTAATTAGCGGAAATTAGGGAAAGGGGTTTATGGAACTGAAATTCACTATGTTAAATTACCGCTTGATTTTTGTTCCCCCAAAAGCCGCCCCCACACACATACACACACCTTGTTTTGCTCTTTCCGCTTCTCAAATATTTATTCTTCCAACAATTTCACCCATTTTTAAAACTATCATCTTTTTTTTCAAGAGGAAATAGATTTTTTTTACTATACGATGCTTTATAACTAAAGGAAGAGCTGTAGATTTATTTTTAAGTTTTAGCTTTAAATATATTGCAAGTCACCCTAAATTTACAAAATAAGAATTGAGCTGAAGCAGGTAGATATTTTTTATTTCTTTGTCAAGCCTGCGAATAGGCCAAAATGAAACAAAAAGAAAAAAGAAAGAAAGAAATGCAACTATACTCTGCTAAGAAGGGAAATATAAAGAGAGGGAAAAAAACAGTTTGTAATTGGAATTAAGAGTCTTGATGATGGTTTTACAAATAACTTTCTCTTTGCTTTGACTCAGTTCCTCCACTATTTTAGAAGGCAGACAATGCTAGCAGAGAAAGCATTTGGGGGCACTGTTTCATCAGCTTACATACACATGGATGTTTGCTCTGTCCCATGAATTCTGCTTATTTGAAGCAACAAGTATCATTTTACATACAGAAATTGCAGCCTCATTCGGTAACAACCCCCACCCCCACAGCAACACATACAAACCCTGCTTTTGTATTCTTTATTTAATATTAGAAAAAAATGGCCTGACTTGAGGCACCAGGAAGCCTCCAGATAAATACCTGAGGAGTCACCTTTGAATATTACACACCAAGAGGGTCGGTTTATAAAAAATGCAGTGATCTCAACATGGCTGCCTCACTGATCCCAGAGGCCACAAAATGGCTCTTCTTCACGAACCCCAGCTAACCACAACCCAATGCCCATTTCACACAACCAAAGTTCCTATGTCAGAGAGGAAGGGATTCCAACAATGTGAACTAGCCAAGTCCCAAGGCCTCTCTCTCTTTCTCTCTTTGTATATGACTTTTCAGTTCTCCCACCTATATGGAAGGCATGATTTCCCTTTAAAAACCTGCCTATTTTTCAATGTTTCTCTATCAGAGGCTGAGCTTTCACCGCCGGTCTTAAAGAAGAAAATCCTAAATAAAGTTCCCTTTGATAACCGTGAGATGGTGCCCTCAGCAAAAAAAAAAAAAAAGCTATCATTCCTACCAGAATATCATGGGCCCAGCATGAAAAAATGGCTCATTTCAAGCTAGAGAAGGAAAGAAAAAAGATATATATATATATATTCCCATTAGCTCATACTCCAAGTTGCTTAATTCTGTCTCTTGAAAACACCGTTTACAAAAGTTCTTGGGCAAGGAGAATTTGTTTCAAACACGCACATATACGGACATACGGACTCTCTCTAACCCACGCTCATACATTGGACAAAAATATTTGGCTCCGAATCCCTCAGGCAACCAGCAGTCCGTGCTGGAGTTCATGTCATCGCTGGCTTAGGTGGGAGACGACATAAATGAGGCCCACCAAGAGCAGACCTCGCACGCCCACCATCATAAGTAGGAAGAGCAGCAGGATGGACATCACCGGCTCTACCACCTGGTTGCCAAGGTGCCAAGTGGGGAAACCCATGTTCACCAGCTGCTGATTGATGTCTGAGAACGGCGAGCGTTCCCCAGGCCTTGCATTCTGGCGCTGTTGCTGTTGCTGCTGCTGCTGGTAGTGCTGTGGTGGGTTGGGACCAGCGTTGGAGGTTGCGTTGAAAAAGCCCTGTTGAGCAAACACGAGAAAGTGAACAAGCACAAGAAGCTGTCTTTCTGAGACACAGAAATGGGACTGTAAAGGGAGATGTCAGAAATGCAGCTCTTTGGGCAAATTAAAATAAAATAAATAATAAAATAAAAAAATTAAGGGACGCGGTGGCTCAGTGGCTAAGACCCTGAGCTTGTCGGTTGAAAGGTCGGCAGTTCAGCGGTTCGAATCCCTAGTGCCGTGTAATGGGGTGAACTCCCGTTCCTTGTCCCAGCTTCTGCCAACCTCGCAGTTCGAAAGCAAGTAAAAAATGCAAGTAGAAAAATAGGGACCATCTTTGGTGGGAAGGTAACAGCGTTCCGTGTGTCTTTGGCTTTTAGTCATGCTGGCCACATGACCGCAGAGACGTCTTCAGACAGCGCTGGCTCTTCGGCTTTGAAACGGAGATGAGCACTGCCCCCTAGAGTCGGGAACAACTAGCACATATGTGCAAGGGGAACCTTTACCTTTAGCCAAATTTTATTTATTTGTTTGTTTGTTTGTTTATATTTATATACCACCCTTCTCCCGAAGGACTCAGGGCGGTGAACAGCCAACAGATAAAACACAAGAAATACAAAATTTTAAAAAGTATTAAAATCCAATTAAATTAATTTGGCCCACAATTAAAAGCACCCCTGTATTAAGACCCATGATTAAAAAAATTTAAAACAATTTAAAAGAGTTAGGCCAGCCTGGCTTGCTGGAATAAATACGTCTTTAGGGAACGGCGAAAGGTGCGAAGATCCGGGATCCGCCGTATCTCCGGGGGCAGCTCATTCCAGAGGGTAGGTGCCCCCACAGAGAAGGCTCTCCCCCTGGGGGCCACCAGTCGGCATTGTTTGACTGACGGCACCCTGAGGAGCCCCTCTCTGTGGGAGCGTATTGGTCGGTGGCAGGCTATCGGTGGCAGAAGGCGGTCTCGTAAATACCCAGGTCCTAAGCCATGGAGCGCTCTAAAGGTGGTAACCAATACCTTGAAGCACACCCGGAAGACCACCGGGAGCCGCTGAACTGCCAACCTTCTGATCGACAAACTCAGTGTCTTAGCCACTGAGCCACCGGGTCCCTCTCGGGAAAAGATACACATGCTTTAAAAATCTACAGATGATACTTTCGTAGCCTCACATACACCTTTTCCAAATTTCCAAAGTGCTAGAAGAAAAGTTTTTACGGAACAATTCTACGCAAACCACAATACATACACCATTCCTCACGAGTCGAGAGGAGTTCTCCCTATTCTGAGTGGTCTGTCGTACTCGAGGGTCATCATCTTGCACAATATCTCCATTAGCCAAAATTCGCACCATCTTTATAGCAGTCTTGGGTTTGCTTTGTCACACCTGTAATTTACAGTGGGAAGATTTTTTTTAATATGATTACTAGTTCCATGGGGAACAGAGACCCAAATAAGATGAATATACCAACATTATACATAATTCTAGCAGTAAAGCATTTCTTACACAATCACAATAGCTAATACATGAGAATTTTAACATTCCCCTGCTGCATTCTTCCCATGTATAGATCTACTACCGTGTTTCTCCAAAAAGACGACCCACCTTGAAAAGAAGCCCTATCACGTTTTTGAGCAAATTAAGCCCCACCCACAAAATTAGCCCTAATTAAGACCCTGCCTACCCCGGGGTGCAGAGGTGGGGCGAGGCACACAGGTAAAAAATAAGCTAGGGTGGGGATGGAGCTGCCCTACTTACCAGGCCTCGCGCACCCCGACACCTGCCTTGCCTTCTTCTGCGGCCACTTGCCGCCACTCGTATGCATACGTACAATAACAGACCTCCGGATTTTTCGTCGGGCCCTGAAAACCCATTTATTTCAATTAGCGGGGCTGGCGTGAGTTAATTTTAAATTGATTTTAAATTGGGTTATTTTAATTTACGGCCAATAATATTTAATTATTTTAAATTATTTTAAATTGTTTTTAAATTTTGTATGTATTGTTTTTTTATTCTGGCTGTTCACCGCCCTGAGTCCTATTCTGGAGAAGGGCGGTATAGAAATTTAAATAATAATAAATAAATAAATAAATCACCCCAGCCTCTGTTTCGCCTTTAGATGCCTGCCGGAAGGCATCTGCAGCCAATAACAGAACTCCAGATCGATCCGGAGGTCTATTATCAGCTGCAGTGGGCTTTCCGGCAGGCATCTGAAGGCGAAACGGAGACCAGGGCAATTCGTGCAAGGCAGCAAGCGGCTACAGAAGAAGTAGGCCAGCAGCGGGGTCCTGCTGGGCGGGGCTGTTGTTGCCATGGCCACAAGGTGAGTCAATAATTAGAACCCTCCAAAAAGAAGGCCTAGCCTTTTTTCGCGGGAGTCAAAAGAAAATAAGACCCATCCTTCATTTTGGAGAAACACGGTATGCATTAGCAATTTTCTTACAATGTTCTACAATTCAAGGGCACAATTAATTGAAATACTTTTCCACTGCATACAGGAACTTTTGAAATAATTCACAAAAAAAGTAAGAATGATGGCTGAAAATACAAAAAATCCAAAAACAATGTTCTTTGTCACATTCTATGGCAACTATGTTCTTTTGTGCGTTGGGTTACTTGTACAGTATGTATGCTCCATACCCTCATCTGAGCCAGAGAACAGAAATGCGACATCCTATTCTCTCAATTAGAACCACTTTCCAGTTCAGTATCCTACCTGATTCAAAAGATTTTAAAGTCAAGTAAATCTGCAGAACTTCCAAAAAATATTTTTCCTTGTAAGCAAAATGCTGTTGGTTTTTAAAAGGTCATAATGGGCACCATTTTAGGAAAAGATATTTCCTTCCTGGCTCAGAGAAAGTATCTGTTGCACAGATATCCAAGATCTACATTAAAAAAATAATAATCATGTGATATGTTCCATTGGTTTAAAATAAAATTAATCATAATATTTTACAGAATTTTTTTTTATGCTGCCTCTCTCACTGATACAGCAACTCTGGGAAACTTATAGTATGCTAAAAAGTATTACAAAACAATTGAAATTGTTGAAGAGGTAAAAATCAAGATGAGATAGGGAGGGAGGGAGGTATTTTCTCTACCTAATCAGCCACCCTCAACATAGCAGGCCCATGTCAGAGCTCCAGATCTAGTGACAGAGTCAAGTTTTCCGACTTTTCAGAAGGCCAGGAGTATGGAGGTGGATTTAATTTAATGTATGTTTTATTTTATTTATTAAAGCAATTTATGCAGCTGCCCATCTCACAAATAAGCAACTCAGGGTGTCATACAACCGAGTTAAAAACAGGTAATAAATATATTATTGAGGCATTTTGGTCACTTGTTTCAAATATATGACAATATTGAAAAACAGAACAAATTTTAAACATAGCATCTGAGGTAAAAATACACAATTGCATAATGCAACTTCTTAGTCAACAAATGGGTCCAGCTTAAAATGTCCTTAGATGTAGAAAGAAAGCAGTCTTTCTCTTATTCCTAGGAAGAAAAGAGAATTCCCAAGATTCCCACAGCCTTAACTACAGAGAATTCTCCCTCATCCTACTAGTTTGGTGTTAAATGCAAATCTGGAAAATATATGAATAAAAAGCAAGAATGATGAGATGCACGATCCCCCCCCCCCCGCATAGGTTAGCTTAGTGCAATGAGACCAACTTGAGCCTATTTCTACCTCAAGAAGGGACTATATATAATGTTTTTTTGAGAAATAATTTATTTTTACAAACACAGACAATACGAAGCATTAACCCACAAAACCAGGAAGTTCCTATTTCAGCATGAATCCATAAGGTAACCTTAAGCCTCACTTCTAGAACCAACTACAGTAGTGGCCAACATTGTGGAAACCTTTTGGGGAAAATGTATTTTTGAGGTTTGATGGCTAATAACACCACTTTTGGGGGGGGGGAGTTTCAAGATAATCCTATTCCACTGCTGGAATGGCCTGGGAATAGCCCAGACCTTAACCCAATTGAAAATCTATGGAGCCGACTAAAGGAACTTGTTAGTCAGAAGTGACCCAGCAATCAAATCCAGTTAATAGAAGCCATCATTCAATCTTGGTTTCACATTATAACCGCTGTAGAACTACAAGACTTGGTTCACTCCATGGGAAGATGTTGTAAGGCCGTAATTCACGCTAAAAGTTACCCAACTAAGTATTAACTGACACGGTGATAATTTTTTTATATCTTGTTTTTTCTATGGTGATACTTTTTGTATAGCTCGCTTTTTCTATGGTGATCATTTTTGTATAGCTCGTTTTTTCTATGGTGATCATTTTTGTATAGCTCGTTTTTTCTATGGTGATCATTTTTGTATAGCTAGTTTTTTGTATGGTGATCATTTTTGTATATCTCATTTTTTCTACGCGTTTCACTTTTCTTCTTTATACTGCAACTGCTATTCTAATAGCAAATCCTTCCTAAAAGTCATTGCATTACATTCTTGATTAAATTTTCCTTCCATTGGTATATAATTTTATGGTACTGCTCCCCCCAAAAAAAAAAAAAAAGTAGAAGAAGTGGGGTTATTAGCTAGTTTTAGAAAATACACTTTTCCCCAAAAGCTTTCTACAATTTTGGCCACTACTGTATTTATGCTTAAAAGATAATACTGGGAACCCACACAATACATACAAATACTCAAAATGCACATACCAATAATAAAAAGGCACCAAGCAAGCAGCCAGAGAAATGATTAGCAAACAGCGATGATGTCACAATTATTCCTGATGCGAAGGCTTCTTCAATCCTAAAAGAAAAAAAACACACAAAATGCGATACAGTGCTCGACTTGGTATCAACAGAAGGGGGTCTCAACTAAAGCTCAGGGAATCCTCGCCCTTGGCTGGAGATGAACATTCTGTACATGGTCAGAGGCACGATTGCTGTGTGGTTAGCTTCAAGAGTATGTCTGGGACCCGGATTAACCCTTTCCCAACTGCCAGCAGGTTCAGGGAGGGAAAAGCATCCGGCCCTTCAATCTATGCTACATCCCAACAAATTTGCTCTGCGTTGGTTAATTCAAGGCTGATAAATTGATTTGTACGGATGCAAACATGCCCCCCCCCCAACGCGCCCACTCACCGCTCGCCTCTCTCTCTCTCTGTCTGCGGTCTCCTTTTGCTGACGTCAGCCTTCCCTTCTTCTGCTGACTGTCCAGTATCTCCAGCCCGGCGACTTCCAGGGACGTCATCATCACCGGACATTTTTTCAGGAGAAGGGAAGAATGAGAGAGAGAGAGAGAGCAAAGTGGTTGGCCCTCCCCCCCCCCGGGTGGAACTGTGGAGTAGCTCCCTCTTCAGGCGCCAAGGTGAATTACACGGTTTGCACGGCGAGGCGATGCATCAGTGAAAGCGCTCAGGGATTGCAGAAGACAATTCCTTAGCGGAGGGGTCTCCAATCGTGGCAATTTTTAAGACTTGTGGACTTCAGCTCCCAGAATTCTCACACAGCAAAGCTCAGGGATTACAGAAGACAATTCCTTAGCGCAGGGGTCTCCAACTTTGGCAACTTTAAGACTTGTGGACTTCAACTCCCAGAATCCCTCAGCAAGCTGGCTGAGGAATTCTGGGAGTTTGTTTGTTTGTTTGTTTGTTTGTTTGTTTGTTTGTTTGTTTGTTTAATTTTTATACCGCCCCCTCTCCCGAAGAACTCGGGGCGGTGAACAGCCAAAATTTAAAAATATACAATATAAGCATTAAAATACTATAAAAACAAAATCAAATTTATCTTTGGCTTCCCCAATTGTGGAGTTGAAGTCCACAAGTCTTAAAGTTGCCAAGGTTGGAGACCCCTGCCTTAGCAGGCGGAGAGGGAATGGAAATGGCATTTTCTTTTTTTTTCTTTTTTTTTCTTTAAAATTTTATTAATAATACAAAATTTAAAAAAACATTGGACATAGATATGACATCACTGGTTCCAAACATCTTCCGTCACTTTACAATAATATTAGTACTCATATAAACATATAGTTCTTAAGCTTTGTTCATTATTTAAACATAATATGATATATTAATACTTTTTCCCTTATTTCTGTATATTTATTTATCTCTTAAACATACATTTATCTATAACAACATCTATATTTTGGAAATGGCATTTTCTAACAACAACAACAACAACAAAATTATTGTCTGGGTTAAAATAATTGCTGAGGGAGAGGGGCTCTTTGCCTCAACAAGGCAGGTGACAGCACCGAGCAAACTTGAGCTCGCTTTAAGCAAAGCTCACCAAGGTCGGATCTGAATTGGGCATGGCGTCTTCCCGATATAGGCTAGACGGGGAAATTGGGGAGAGGGGAGGATGCAATTGCAAGTTGCAAAGGGTCCTCGGTGGGCGCTGGATAGATTGCCAAGCCCTGTTTTGCAAAGCCAGAAATCTTGCAGCTGAAGCAGACCAATAATTGCCATGTGCCAATTTTGTCTCGCACCGGCATCCTGGATCGGAGCTGCCTGCTTGGCGTTGCCTCTGCAATTCAGAGCAGGTTTTGCTCTTTCGAAGGGAAAACGAGTTTGTCTTTTCGCGGGGAATTCAAGGGAACGGGACGAAGTTTTACCATCACTCTGCTAAACAACTAATTCCCACAACACTGTCAAATTAACTACTAAGACTGTATTACTATTCTTCTTCTCATCCTTCCGAGTACCTATCTCTTCCCACTTATGGCTATATCCATGGTGCTTGTATCTTTACAACTTATATTGTTTTTACTGTTTCCTAGTATGATTTTGTTGTGGCCCGTACACGGCCTGTGCGGCTGGTGGCTGATTCGGACAGCAAGGAGGCTGGTGTGGTGCTGCGCCAGCAGCCTGTGCAGCTGGCACTCGAGTTGGACAATGAGGCTGGAGAAGATGTGGTGCCAGAGGCGGGGATTCAGCCAGGGCCTTCAGAACCTCCAGAAGCTCCTTTAAGTGAAGAAGATGAAGAGGAGGAGCCTCTTCTCGATGCACGGGTGCGCAGAGCTGCCAAAAGGCAGGCATGGCTCCTCAGGAAGAGGTCTCCTCAAGAGTAAGGCTTGGGGCTAATTGGCCACTCCCTTAGCCTATTTAAGGAGGAACGCCGACTGAAGCAATTTGTAGGGAACAACTTCGTTCACTCTCCTTCGTGCCTTGATCTTAGTTCTCTGCAAATTGCTTCTGGGCTTTCTGTCAACCATAGTAAGATTAAGATTATTTATTCTTTGGATTCTTGTAGGCTGTTAAGAAAGTTAATTAACAGCTTTTGTTTGGGAAAAAAATCTGTTTAATTTAGTAAACTGAGGTTTGTAGAGACTTTGTGTGTGCTGCGTTCTTTGGGGTCCTTAGCTGGGGCAGAACAGATTTGATTGCTTATTAGTATCCTATGACTATCACTAAGTGTTGTATCTTATGATTCTTGACGAATATATTTTATTTTTTCTTTATGTACACTGAGAGCATATGCACCAAAGACAAATTCCTTGTGTGTCCAATCACACTTGGCCAATAAAGAATTCTATTCTATTCTATTTATCTTACTGGTTGGTAAGCAAGCACGGATTGGCTTGGGAATTTTGGGTCAGGAGGTGTGATTGGCTACAGCAATGTCGCTTGCAAATAAAATAAAATAAAAATCTGCTCAGCTCCTTATAGTATAAATAGTGATGTCAGAAATTGGGGAATAGAAAGTATATGCTCTTTTGCAGGATATGAGCTAAATCGGTTTGGTTTTTTTTTTCAAACTTGGCCATTTTTAAGATCATAGACTTAAGATTCTCAGAATTCCCCAACCAGCACACCTACTAGCCCTAAGAAAAATGATGCAAATCAGGGGTGAAATCTACTTACCTTCCCTACCGGTTCGGAAGCGCGTGGAAGTGAGAGTTTTAACTAATTTTATGATCTTTTTGCCATATTAAGTGAATCCAGCTTTCCCCATTGACTTTGCTTGTCAGATTACCAATGGTGATCCTGTGACCCCCAGGATGCTACAACCATCATAAAAACATGGCTATTAACAAGCACTCAACTTTTGTCTGAAAAAGATACAAAATTCTAGGTAAAATATTCATTTTAATAGTTGCAATTCTACCAATCAAAGATAACTGCAAGTTTCCCCATTTCCCCAAATCCTGTCCTATCTGTTGCTTAAGCTTATTATAATTATTTTCTTTAAGAGAACTGCATCTTGCTGTTAAGTGAATCCCCAAGTATTTTACCTTATTTGTGACCTGCATCTTAGAGATCTCCATCAGTTTTTCTTTTTGTTTTTTTAACATATTTTTAGTCATTATCTTCGTCTTCTCTTTATTAATTTTCAAACCAGCAACCTCCCCAAATTCGCCTATTTTTTCTATCAATTTATTTATTGATATTAGTGGTTCTTCAATAATAAATAAATACTTAATTGTGAACATTTTAACAGCGGCCAGAATTGTATTTGCCAGGATACAAAGGAAAGAAGGGAAGGAAAGGAGAGAAGATAATTACCGATGAAGAAATTATTATGAAAATGTTGAACTGTGCTGAAATGAGTAGATTGACATTTGAAATAAGAGAACAGGAAGATAAACAATACTATTTGATATGGGAGATATTTTATCAATGGTTTGATAAAAAAGTATGGAGATGAGATAGCATATATGAAATGTTTAAATATGTATTTTTAGTTTAAGTAAAGAATAATTGTTATATGAGGAGATTTGGAGAATTGTAAGCACGAAATGATTTTAACCGATTGAGATGCTGTCTATAATCGTTTGTAAGGATGATATTTTTATGTTATTGTTGTTGTGGTTTTTTTTATTTTTTTTTATTTTATTTTTAATTTAAAATAAAACTTTTTTCAAAAAAAAAAAAACAAGCACTCAACTTTTGACTGCTTAACTGCAAGGGTGCTATGATTCATAATTGAGTAGCATTCAACATGATTGGGAATTGGAAGCATCCTCAAGAAGGGATCCAAAACCAACAATGCTTGTGAACATCAACTTGACACACGGGCACACACCCATGGACCCCTTCCTGAAAGTGTTCTGCCTAGCCTCCCTACATAGCTTCATCACAGGAGATCAGTCAGCCTGGCCAAATGAAATTTTCTCTCAGGATCCTAGAATAGATGTGATTCTCTGTTCTGCCCAGCCCATCTTAGCATTTTTGGTCAGTGTATAGTTATATGGAAGGTTTTAGGAGTGGAACTTGGAAGAAAAGGGCCAGATGTCTTGGGGAAGCTCCCATCTCCTGGAAAAATTAAATATTTTGAGGAATATTTTTTTAAAAGGCAGAATATTATATTTCCCTAAATGAGAAATGAAGAAACATGTTTTTTTAGAGGGAGAAAGCAGCCCCAGTCTCCCTGCCCCCAAGCAGAAACTGAGGAGGCAGCTTTTAGAAATGCAGATTTGGTAATCCATTCAAGGCAGAATATTTTGAACAAAGGCAAAATGGTAGGATTAGAAACAGCCCCCCACTCAAGATCCAAAATAGGACGAAAGTCATTAGCCACAATAGGAATTGCCCAACTCCCTTTCAGAACACAAGCCCCTTCATTACACCACCCCAGAGCAGTCCAAACTTCAACCAAATTAGCTCAGACAAGCATCTAGGATTTACATTTCCTCTTTTGCCTGTAGAGCCAGCTATAACCCCTACATGACCCCATAGGAATCTGACAACAGCCAATAGAATACATATTCTTGCACAGGAACAGGAAGCTCAAATACAAAGCCCAAAGAAGGTATATCATCCGCCGCCGCCACCCCCCACTCTCAACTCCATTTTGTCAGCTGTCCCAAAAATCATGTGTGATTGGTGGTTTTGCTTCATCAATAAATGGAACTTTTCTTACCTCTGGAAGGAGAAGTAATTTAAAAAATTTTAGACTGTATAGAAATGAATAGATTAACTTTGATGATTAAAGAAAGAGATGATTCAGAATACTTTAAGATATGGAATCAATTTTACCATTGGTTAGAAAAGAGATATAGATAAGTAAATTTTTGAGCCTTGATAGTACAGTGGTTTAGTGCACCCTGTTATTAACACAGCTGCCTGCAATTTCTGCTGGTTCGAATCTCTCCAAGGCTCAAGGTTGACTCAGCCTTCCATCCTTTCTAAGGTAGGTGAAATGAGGACCCAGTTTGTGGGGGCAATAAGCTGACTTTGTATAAATATACAAAAGTATGAAGGCTATTGCTTAACGCATTGTAAGCCGCCCTGAG